TACCCCCCCCCGCCCCCCCCCCCCCCCCCCCCCCCCGTGTCTTCCCCTGATCCTCTCTGCCGTGATAAAGAGGTGACACTACTTCTCTCTCCCCCTCCCCGTCTCTGCGTCTCCTCCCTCCCGCTGCTTCTTCTCTCATCTTCCATTTCTCCTGTTTTGTTGTCTTTCCTCTGTCGTCGTCCCCCATTTCCTGTCTCTCCTTCTCCCCTTATCTCTGTCTTCCTCTGTCATGTCTCCTCTCACTCCTTCCTCTGTCATGGCTCCTCTCACTCCTTCCTCTGTCATGTCTCCTCTCACTCCTTCCTCTGTCATGGCTCCTCTCCCCCCTTCCTCTGTCATGGCTCCTCTCACTCCTTCCTCTGCTCTCAGCTTCTCCTCCTCGGCTTCTCTCCTTCTTTTCCCGTCTCCCTCCCTCCTTCATCCTCCTCACCTCCCGATCACAGCTGGTCATAGATACGCGCGACTCGTGATGTGGAAGACGTGTCGTAGCTTCTCCAGTGTCAGGAACATACCCCGGGATATATACCCCACCCATACCAGGAACATACCCCGGGATATATACCCCACCCATACCAGGAACATACCCCGGGATATATACCCTACCCATACCAGGAACATACCCCGGGATATATACCCCAACATACCAGGAACATCCCCCGGGATATATACCCCACCATACCAGGAACATACCCCGGGATATATACCCCACCCATACCAGGAACATACCCCGGGATATATACCCCACCCATACCAGGAACATACCCCGGGATATATACCCCCACCATACCTGGAACATACCCCGGGATATATACCCCACCATACCAAGAACATACCGCGGGATATATACCCCACCCATACCAGGAACATACCCCGGGATATATACCCCACCATACCAGGAACATACCGCGGGATATATACCCCACCATACCAGGAGCATACCCCGGGATATATACCCCACCATACCAGGAGCATACCCCGGGATATATACAGTGCATTAGAGGATCTTGACCCGTCATTTCTATTTCTTGGAGAGAAAAGTGATGCTTGAGCGCCAATTAGGAGCGAGTGCCGAGGACGCGGCGCCATTGTGACGGTATTTCTGCTCTGAATGCTCCTAGTTAAGGCTGATTATAGTGTAACGCACTCCCGCGCCTGGCCGCCATGTTAACTGAGGAATAAAACTGCTTCCTGTTTCTTTCTCTGCGGCACGTCGGTGAGAGGAGGAGGCAGAGAGCTGAAGGATGGTGAGAGGTCCATCAGACTGTACGTGGAGACGGCACACGGCGCCGATATAAGCTGCTTCTATACTGTCACCGGCCTATACGCACCATCAGTGTACACGTCTCTATACCGCGCGGGGGGGGCGGCTATGACTCCTACTGATGATGAAGCCGCAGGACCATCATGGCTGCTCCTTCTCTCTAATTCCCCGCACCTGGAAACATGTCATGTCAAGGCGTTAGGCTGCCATTGATGAACTCCCCGGAAAAAATGTCACCTGCCTGGCTGTCTGTCGTATTTCTTCCGGGTCCGTGATTCAGAAAACATTCACGCGTTGGGCAGCTAAGCAACTAAGCACCTGGTCTCCTCCCAGACACAGTGGCCAATCAGGAGGCAGCTCTCCCGCTTGGCTTCAGCTTTAAATGGCGAAGAGCAGCT